ATATGCACGTTCGCCCGCAAAAAAAATATTTATTTAAAACCGGGGCGGCTTTTTTGTTTTCCTTTTTTTTTTCGTCTGCGAATTCGTCAATTTAATTATTGTAAAGGTTGGTGGACCGGCGAACGGTTTTTGGGCGTTGTGCAACAGTATTAAAATTGCGGCAAAGGGGAATTCCTTTTGGAAAATTAATTTTCGCGTTGTAAATCATCCCCTATTCGTTTTCCCGGTTGCCGGGTCCCGAAAAAAAAAAAGTGATTGCATCCCTTAAATTCCGTAGGTTTGTAAGGAATTTTTCATTTGGTTTTGTGCGGATGCTGCGAGACGAGAGTGCCGGAAATTTTATCCCGACGTTGATGCAAGTTTTCCGGCAAACAATATCGGAAAAAATATTAAATTTGGAAAATTTTAATAATCGCGTCTGTTGGTGCCTCGACCGGAACCCCGGCCGAAACTTCTGTTGCAAAAAAGCAATATTTATAGTCTGTCTCAATCTTCATCGTGCTGGCTTTTGCCCGCAATTATGGAAGTTACCTGCTGACGGCAATAAAGCTCACAGCTAGGAATATCTATACATAATTACATTTTTATACTAAATGTCTAATCTAATTCTGTTTCACTATCAGAGTCGTCATTGAGATTAATTATAATCCTCAATGTGCTGTACTGAATTTTTCCAATTGTCGATTGGTATATTTTTAATTACATTTTTTATCAAATTTATAACCCTGGGACTTAAAGTAGCAGTAACATTTTCTGATGTGATCTTTGATGTTATTTCGTTCCACAAATGCTCTACGGGGTTAAACATGCAATGATGTTTACTAGTGTGTGTAAATGAGAACAAGCATCTGAAACTATTCACCAAGAAAACTATAAAACGAAATGTAGAGACTCTTAAAAGACTATGAAATTATACAGGAAGTTGTTTTGGTTAGTTGGACTATTTAGATGGTTACTGTAGCTATTTCTTTTTTTTTTCCTTTTTTAAAACTTGTATCTTGTCAAAAAACAGATATATTGTTACATTATTTTGGAGGATGATAATAGATTAGATGGATTTTGAGATCCTATCAATAATATTTAATTGTTTGGCTAATTTAAGGCTTTTTTTTCGTTAGTTCAATATTTTTTTAGACTGAGCCTGAATTTGGGTATTATTTTGGTATAATTTAGTTAATTTAGTTGAGATTTTCACGAAATTATATATTTTGACATGACAATTGTTTCCACAACACCGTGGCTTTTTCAAATGTAATATTTACAAACCAGCTGCTACTATATATACTATATATATATATATATATATATATATATATATATATATATATATATATATATATATATATATATATATATATATATATATATAAAATGCCCATAAAACCTTAATTAATGTTGTTGTGAGAATTTAAGTTCAATAAAGGAGAGGTATTTAAATCTAATTGATCGTTAGTAATACATTTGAATGTCTCATGGCTTCCAATAAGTTTAATTTTCTACTTTTTGTGGCTCTATGTAATCATCATATATCAAAATTGTCGTCAAAAATGCGTTTTTCTGTGTTTAAGTGTGTAGCATAATTAGAATCTAGACTATTGTTTTTAAAAACGCTCTTTTATGTTCGTTAATGCGTTTGTTGAAGGATCTACCTGTTTGTCCAATATAAATTTTAGGACAAGATCGGCATTTCAACCTGTAGACGCCTGATTTTTGAGATTTTGGACAATTCGTTTTATTGTTTTTTAAAAATTTTCCTGTTGTGTTGTTACTTCTGAAAGCTATTTTTAAACCACATTTGATAAACGTTTTGAAACTTTTTCACTAGGTTCTTCTATGTATGTAATTGTTTTAAATTGTCCGTATTCTGTATTAGGCTCCGGATAAATAAAGTTTACTGTTGTCTGGATTTGTTTTTTATTTATAATTGTATCTGTAATGAACGGATTGGTGTTCAATGCAATTTGTTTAATGATATTAAGTTTTTTGCAGCATGACTTCTGTTGTTGGCTTTTAATTTTACGAATTTGGGAAAAGACTTATTCTGCAGACATTTGTTAAAAAACCAAATGTTTTGGGAACATTTTCGTCAACGTAGAAGCAATTTGAAATACCAAATAGCCAAGAAATCAATTTCAGCTTCTTTCAAAAATTGAACTGAGCTGTAATTTTCTGTTGAGAGTGGCGTATTAAGAAGTCTGTGTATAAAAGAGCGAAATGCAGCCATTTTGTGTGCATAAGGGTGATTTGAGCTGTTATTTATGACTGTGTCCGTGTGTGAAATTTTATGATAAATGGAAAAATCTAATTTGTTTTGCGTGTTCGTAATAGTTAAAAAATTAATAGAGTTGTCCTGTTCAATATCGATAGTGAATTTTATACGTTTATGTAATGAGTTAATTTAAAAAAAAATTCAATTGTCTGTCCGTCCCAACAAAGCAAGCAAAGACATCATCCACGTATCTACACCTCTATAGAAAACTTTTACTTAAAGGATGTTCCAGTATGATATCTTCCAAATTTTCCATAAAAATCTCGGCTAACAAAGGACTAAGTGGGTTTCCCATAATCAACCCTTCCTTGGAGATGTAAATCTGTCCATTAAATTCAAAATAATTTTGGTCTAAAGATATTATTAAGCAATCTAATATATCTTGTTTCACCAATGGGTTAACCTGTTTCAGAGTTAGGGTGAAATCAACTAAATCTATCACATCCATAGATGGAATATTGGGGAATAAGTTTTGCACATCAAAAGACAATAGTGTTGCGTTAGAAATCTTTAATTTTGTTGATTAATTCAAAAGAATTTTTTATTGCAAATTTTGGTTTAAAATCTGTGTGGAACTTTAAAATATTTACTAATTTTTTTTAGGAGTTTAACTGCTGGAGCTGTTTCATAAGACACGACTGGTCTAATGGGCATATCTTGTTTATGTAATTTAACTAATGAATATAATTTCGGAGGTGAATGAATGAATGAATGAATGAATCCAAAAAAAACACAATTTTTAGTTCTTATTTATTTTTTTAAATGGAGTTTCATCAAGTAAAAACCGCTCCAGTTCAATCAATGATATATTCGCGACTTCGACAAAGTTGTTCTTGTTGCTTTTTCAATTTCATTTTGTTTTATTTAGTTATATCAAACGAGTATGTTAAGAAAGGTACGGCACAGGTATCAATAGGCAAGGTATTTCTTGAGTTTTAATCTTAAAATTTATTTATTTATTAATATTATTGTTGTTGATGTCATAAAATCTATCGCTTAAAACTAAACAAATATTATCTTAATTAATGCCAGCCAGTTATGGTTGGCGAGTATGCTGCAGTTTCTTGTTGTATGGTATCAAATCTATATTCTAGGTCAATATTGTATTGTTCCACAATAATTTAAATGTTTTTTTCTCATTGAGTCATAATTTTTGGAGGTGCTTTTGCAATTGGCATCATCTGGATTAGTAATTTGATCCCTACACATCTCTCGGGCTGCATGGCAAAATACTAATGCTTAGTAATAGGCAATTAAGAGGATATATTAGGAATTTTATATATTTTTTAGGTATTTTCAACAGTCTAGCGAGTAATTGTCTGCCTAAGCCTTTTTTGTTTTTCAGCAAAATCAAATAACAAAACTAAAACAAAACTAAAACGCCATCCAAAAATACACGAAAGCTAACATAGGGAAAGCAGTTAAAGCAATTAAAAATGGGATGAGTCAGGGGATAGCAGTCAAGCATATTCCAAAAGCAACCCTACAGATCCCCAAAATGCTGAAAATCGAAAGTACAAGAAAAGTAAGGAAAATAAATATCTAGAGGCGAATGGAATGGAAGGGAATTGAAAATAATAACAAAAATTGTTGTAATTAAAAGCACAGTTTCAAAAAGCGGTCTTAAGGTACGGGATAAGTTGGAATATAAGAAGAGTCAGATTAGTGGTGAAAATTGTGGTATAGTAGACATATTTTCCATTGGTAACTCATTTGTTGGTGGAACTATTGGTGAAGATACTAGAAAAAACAGGTATAATTATCTAAATTATAAGACAAGCTATACAAATACTTCTTCAAGTGTTATTAATTCATGTGATAGTAGGTTTGTTTTAGAAATCAAAATTTTTAACTTCGAAAACAATTTTTTACAAAGTTGTTTGAATCGCCAAGCCAGAATTAATTAAGCAGAATTTTATGCGTGTGGGATGCATATAATACTCGTATAAATATCTCGTCCTTAAGATTAGAGATGAGATTTTGCTTTTGCTTAAGAACCTATCTTACTGGTGTTAACAAACCTCAACGATCAGAAAATCATTATGCTTATATATGAAGTAACTGCCAAGCTAAAAAATCATAATTTAGTTTGGGTTAAGGTCCATATTTGTAAGATTTACTAGGGAAACTGTAACCTTGTGGTAAATAACTATTTTTATTGTTTGTTTCAAGATGTTAAAAAGTGTTTCTGAAATTTGCTTGTGTTGTTATTTGAGAAGAAATTTTGATGCATTGCTTAGAACTTTATACTTTCAATTTTTTTTATTTCGTTTATTATAAGCAATTAAGCAATTAAATAAATGTTAACTTCCATTATATCAATTTGATTTGGCAAACGATTTTTAGTTAATGAAAGCAGATTTGCCATTATTTTCAATGTATCCTTTATTATATCATAAATATGCCACATTCTAATATCTACCCGATATAATATTTCATCCGGCCTTGTGTACTGACTGCATGGCAAACACTTAAGCTACGCTCCAAACAAACGAAACAACAAATTAGTACCATTGCGTTGCAACGTTTCAGACAGACACGCTTAGCTCGCAACTTGTTTGGGTAACGGTACCGCCTTGTGACGCGGAATGTAAAAAGTAGTGCCGACTATCCTCTTAAGCGTCGTAAAATGTTTACACGGGCGTTTAATACGATTTAAACAACGAGATGCAGTAGCGTTTTTACCTCACAGAGGCAGCGAACGTGATTGATAGCATCTGTTTTGTTTCAGGTTTCCATTGCAAACACATCCGCACCATGGTAGCCTAACAGTAAGTGTTATTAAGTAGATATTTTTATTTTTTAAGCCCTTTTTATCATATTAAATTTTTACAGTTTGGTTGAATTTTGTTGTGCTCCTAGTGGCGTAGGTATATATATATACAGTCGAACTTCGATAAGTCGAACCAATTTGGTTGGCAATAGTGTCAAAAGTAGGAAATGTGTGTTAGTTTGTCATGATAACTCGAAGGAAACATTTGGTACCAACTTCGATAAGTCGAATTTTCTGGGGGAACCCCCTAATTACGACCTATCTTAACCTGTCTTTTTAACGTATCTATGCAAGCAGTTCAGTTTCTGCGCTTGCTAAATTCACTTGTATGACTAGTTAATACTAAGTGAAAAATACTGCCCCTATTCAATTTACACATTATATTAAAGACATTTTTGGATTTTTGCATTTGTTGATGTCATCAAAACGTATGTGTGCAACAAAATCTTTGGTAGCATTGAAGAAGTTCCAAATGTGTTTAGTTTAAAAGGAAACCAAGAATATAAGGCCCTATTTAAATAATTCCACACCGTAACCGATTTGTTTCTTTCACTTTGTCGAATTATAGCTTATTTTTCCAACTTTTCATTATCTTCCTAAATTAGTTATAATTTCTTTTCTTTTCTTTCAAGATTGTTACCGAAAACTACAAGTGACCGCACCTGTAAAAGCACTCTAGCTAGAGTTAGTCCGTAGACTGAGATCAGCTATGTTGGGCCAAATAGACTTATTACCTCTAGGCGTGGCGTTTGAGTAACATGACTTCCGTACCTTCCCCGCTTTCTTGAACTCCAAAGCTCAATAGGACCAGACAAAAAAAACCTTAAAATTAATTGAACAACGTGAAATAACGAGTTCTCTAGGATTTACCCCACTGGACATAGCAGCGAAATGTCAAATGAACAGTGAAATAAGAAAATTGAGAAAAAAAATCTGGTCAAGGAACTCATAGGGATGTGTGTAACAGTAATTGGGAGTTGTTCGATTCGTACGCTCCGAGAATAATCCTCACTATCGTTGTAACCGGAATACGAAATAAGTACAATAAAGAATGCCACCTAAAAACAGGATAGCAGCTGCGGCAGTTTTTCTTACGCGCGACATTTTTGACAACACAAATAAATCGAAATTGCTGAAACTGTCTCAGTACAATCCCAATCTTGCAGTGTACAACAGAGAGGGATCGAATATGTACACTACCAATTGATTTTATCTCTCCAGAGTACGCTAAATCTAGCTAGACTTAATCTACACTGTACACGTACCTTTAATGGAACTTTTGTCAAGATATATTTCTCACTTACTTACGTTAACGCTATACGAAAGAGCGTATTTTAATTGTGCTTCCTTTAATATATTATAAATTTATTATCATTTCCCAAATAGATGCAATGCTATTAGAAATTTCCCTATTTAGAATCCCTGGCGAACGAGTGTAAACGTAGGAGCGGCTTACTAGCAGCTCGAACATCACGAGCAAAACATTCCTACGTTGACGTTGGCGTTATTTTAACGTAATAAAACGGTTATTGCGCCGTTAATATGCATCCGCGCGTTCGCCATTTTGAAACAAAAGCGCGGAGAAGACATTAAACCCGGTATACAACGGAGGAAATTCAGTGTCTCGTACTCGTAAAGAGAATTAGGCTGAACTACTGCTGTATGTGTGCCGTAAAGAGGGACGTAAAATTTACGACGGGACACCGTTTCAAAATTTATTCACATATCCCCTCCACCGCCACGCTGTAAAGAGATGCTTCGAATAATTTGGCAAAAACCGACAGTGTTCTGCGGGTACCTTGGTTATTTCGATATTTTAATAAGAGTTGGTAATTCATCAATTTATCTATCGAAATGTGAAAGTATCAGCTGCACGACTCGAATTGTCTAAAACTTTTCCGCTGTGTTCATCACCCTTATTTGTACTTTTAAAAAATATGTTTGCCTAGCCATCTTGTAACAAAGCAACTTTGGAAAATAAATAAGATTTAAAAGTTCAGATAATCACATGTATTTTGACATGACAATTGTTTCGACAACACCGTGCCTTTATCAAATGTAATATTTATAAACTACCTGCTACTATATATACCGAAAAATGACCATAAAACTATAAAAGCCCAGATCCAAGGCCAAACGAAATGGACGAAGAAGAACGAAGACACGAGTATAGAAAACGGAATTCAAACAACATTTATGTAAAGGTAATACATTCTGAATTATCTCATAGACTTAATCCCATAGAATTTGACACATTTGATTATAAAGTTCGAACAGACATTTCTTCTATCATTCATAAAAAGTTTATTAGACAAAAACTAAAGCTAGACAAAGTAATTTCTAATTCAAAAATAGCTGAAAGCAAGCCAGTTATTACAAAGTATACCAACCATCAATTTTACACAACACAACATTTTCTAAAAATGTAGTTGAATTTCTAGAAAAAGGTTTCAACTTTAACTTACAACACTCGTACATTAATAGAGAATTAGACTGTTTAGGGATCGATTGTGAATTAGCAATTAAGGACATTAACGATTCTAATTTAAAGAAACATGGAAACAAAGGAATTTCTCAAATAGCACTAGTAAAAACTATCAAAAACAAAGCTTGTGAAAATAACATAATATTTACACGTGCAGATAAAGGGAAGACAGTGGTAGCTATCGATCTCCCAGAATATATTTCAAAAATCAACAATTTTCTTAAACCAGAACTTTTCCAATGTATCAAACACGGTCGTACCGAGTTATATCAAAGACAAGTCAAGGAAGTAACGCCACTCTCAACAGAAAATTACAACAAAGAACTTAATATCATTAAATAAATTGCACTGAACAACGGAACTCCCATTGTAGATAAAATTATAAATAAAAAGCAAATACAGACAACAGTAAACTCTATTTATCCGAAACCTAAGACAGAACACGAACAATTTAAAACAATTACATACATAGGAGAACCTAGTGAAAAAGTTTCAAAACATTTGTCAAAATGTGGTTTAAAAATAGCTTTCAGAACTAACAACACAATAGGAAAATATTTACAAAACAATAAAACGAAATGTCCAAAATCCCAAAAATCAGGTCTCTACAGGTTGAAATGTGGATCTTGTCCTAAAATTTATATTGAACAAACAGGTAGATTCTTCAAGAAATGCATTAACGAACGTAAAAGAGTGTCTAAAAACAATAGTCTAGATTCTAATTATGCTACACACTTAAACACAAGAACACATTTTTGACGACAATTTTGATATTTTACATACAGCCACAAAAAGTAGAAAATTAAATTTATTGGAAGCCATGGAGATTAACAAAACGAAACATTCAAATGTTTTGCTTAACGATCAATTAGATTTAAATATCTCTCCTTTATTGAACTTAAATTCTCCCAACAACATTAATTAAGGTTTTATGTTCATTTTTCGGTATATATAGTAGCAGGTAGTTTGTAAATATTACATTTGATAAAGACACGGTTTTGTCGAAACAATTGTCATGTCAAAATATATAATTTCGTGAAAATCTGAACTTTTAGTTCTTATTTATGTTGATAAATGGATTTTCATCAAGTAAAAGCCACCTCAGTTCAACTTTGGAAAGTTTATTTTGAAATTTCGAGCTTAACTAAGTTTGTTTATAAAAAATATTATTATACCTGACCTGAATTTTTTCTCAGATGTTATGTAACTGTGTTTTTTGTTCTTGTTCTTAAAATCGTCAGCAGCTGCGAATATTTTGGAATAAATTTTTCATCGAGAGTCTCTAAAGCTAAAGCAATATCCGGCCTTTTTCGATAGTGATTTTGAGGTAGTCGGAATTGCTATAATTACAACAACGAAAAATTGAAGCTATAAAAATAGTCACTATAATGACCTCAAATATAAAATGACTCGCTGCACCAAACCATAGTTGAGAGAGGGATGCGAGGAGCTACTAAAGAATTTGCCATTAAACAATTTCAGGATAATTACATCAAGAGGGCATAGTAACTATGCATAACAACAGTAACATATTTATCGAGGGGATTTAGCTTCTGCTCCGTACTATACAGAAAAAAGTAACTTTCAGTTTCGCTATGGTGATAACAAAGATGACAGTGATTTAAATGAAAACAAGAAGGTCAATTTAAATACTTCCCGTCAAAATCACCTGATAGCCTAGACAAGTTATTCCATATATACTTTAGTTTGTAAAATATTTAAATATTTTGGTTTGAAATGACAGATGTTACGTCTTCAGTCAGTCTGAAGTGTATTAATAAATGCGTTTGCGTCAGACAACAAAAACAAATCCCCTCCTAAGGCGGACCTGATAGATATACCAAATACCAAGATCCTATCTATTGCTTAAAAGTACTCCAAATCCAACAATCAAAAAAATCAATTTTGATTGACTAATTGTTATGATGTTAAATCGCAATCAAAAATTGCAAAATTGTTCTAATTCAAGTCATAACCCCGAATTAAGCTTACCAGATTTTAGACTGATATTTAAATCAACATAGACTTCTAAAGAGCTTCCCTTCTCTGCCTTATTACTCACCTGGAAAGAAAAATATGACTCAATTCAATCATTCTTCACATAGCGGTAGTTTTGGTGGTATGTCCAGAATAAATTTAATCCATTCTTGAATGAACCGTTCGCATACCAGATAATGCACCACCGCGTTGTTACTCGAAATTGGTTGTCATTCACTCTGATTGATGCTCTTAGGGAATGTTTTGCAACGGTAAGCACAAGCTATCCATTTTTTCTAAAAACAACACCGAACAACAATTGCTTTCAACGCTTCACCGGCTTGGGACGGTATCAGTTGAAAAATGTCGGCTAATGGGCGTAAAACGACCTCTTAACTTTTCTCTTGGTTTCATTCCAAGAACGCCGAACATCTGACAGTCTCCGTCTAGTTCCGTCGGAAGAACATATCCGTTATCTTTTTTGGCAAGCGTCAGATCTTTAGATCGACGAACCTCGCTCCAAACTAATCCATATT